CCCGACTGCTCTATCTACTGCGCCACCTAGCTGCCCCCTCAAATATGGCATTTTAATGTGGCTCAGATGTAGTTGAAGGTAAGACAAGGTATGGGAACACCACTTGATCGTTGGCTGACAGTTGTACAGATGAACGTCAACTTTTCTACTGCCCTACCATTTCTCTGCCCCGCCCCCCTTTATGAAAAGAGTGTGGGCTCCCTATAGTTAGCACCTAAATGGGGAGGAAAGAAGGATGAAGAGAGAAGGAATGGAAGGTCTTCCCCTTTTTTACATAAGGACTGGAAACTATCCCTCCATCTTTTAAAGCAGGTTTAAAGGGGATCCTCTGGCAGAGAAGAAAACTCTACGTTATTTCTTCCATTTAGAGTCACAGACAGGCCTCCTTACTTCTCTCTTTTCAGACATCTCCCACAGGCCACAGCAAGAAGCTAGCCGAAATTGCAGAGGCATAAGATCTATAGACTCAAGCCCCTCATTTTATAGAGAAGGAAACTGAAGATCATGGTAAGTGCCTTGCCCAGTGTCCCAGAGGCAGAGGCAGGATTTGAATTCAGATTCTAAATCTCCTTCTCTTTCCACAATCCCAGGCTGCTTCTCAGGTAATCCTGCCTGGCACCATTAGCACCAAACCTCAGGCCCAGCACTAATATACCAGATGGGGCAGGTGGGGGATTCCCCACCCTTTCTCCAGCTTCCACTGAATCCAGCAGAAAGGGCTCCAAAATACATAACCCTCTGTGGCATAGAAGAACGTGTATCTCTGCAGGTAGGTTTGGTCTAAAATACAGATTTTATTACACCCACTTCCCATTTGTTTTAGAGCAGGGGCCCCCTTGGGGTGGGAGGATCCCTGTTCCCCCAAGGAACTCACCTGTCTCTTTCCATGCCACAGTTCTCAGAGAGGAGTGAACCTGAGGGTCTCTGATGGCAGGTAGCTGTGGCTAGCTTTCACAAAGCTTTAGAGAAACACAGACATGGGCAGACTGGGCTCTGCTTTCCCCTTCTGACCTATTCATCAACTTACCATCATCATAGACAGCTCTCCTTTGGGGATCTCTGAGAATGCAATAGGCCCAGAGAGAGCCTAAAGGTGACTTGAAGCACAGGTACCCTGTGATACCCTGCATGCATAAGCACACACTCGTGTTCAGTCATTTCAGTTGTGTCTGATTCTTCATGACCCCATTTGGGGTTTTCTTGTCAATGGTTTGCCATTTCCTTCTCCAGCTCATTTTGCAGGTGAGGAAACTGAGGCAAACAGAATTAAGTGACTTGTACAAGGTCACATAGCTAGTAAGTGTCTGAGGTCAGATTTGAACTCAGGTCCTCTTGACTGCAAGCTAGGCATTCTATCCACTGCACCACCTAGCTGCCCCACGTTAATGGGGGTAGGGGTCCTTCATTGTCAAAGAGGACCAATGATATCACAATGTGATGGGTGATGTCTTGATTTGCACATGAATTGGATTTAAATGAGGCAGAGCTGCACAAAGTCATCAGTCTCACTCTCTTTTCCAGAGTTATCAGAGTCCAAAGGCAAGACAAAAACTGGAGATGGTCTGGGATACAGTGGATGACCTTGGCGTCTTCAGTGTCTGACCAAGCTCTAAGCAATACTCAGCGCCAGCTTCATGGCCATTGGAACAAATTGTTCTCATCCACCCATTCTGTAAGGGCATACACTGGGTACCAATAAATGCTTACTTACTGATTGACTGATTGATTGATTGATTGATTGACTTAAGAAAGCCGTGTGAAGACCACCTGCTCTGGAGAGCTGGTGAGCTGCCCAGCTCGCTGCTCAGGGAACACTTTCATGCTCCTCCCCCTCCTCGCTCATTCGTCCAAACTAAGGATGGGGCTTGTCAGATAGAGGTAGGGGAGACTCACAGGGAAAGGAAATCAGACTAGCAGAGGGTAGGATTCAGACCTGGACAACAAGAGTTCCTCCCCTCCCACAGTCTTCACCAGTAGGTAAATCAGAGACCAAGGAGGCCCCTGACAGAGAAAACTGCTCACTTTGAGGAGTAGGTATGGATTCCTTGTCCTTCAGAGAGGTAGCATGTGTGCTCACAATAATAATAGCATTTAAGGTTGGCAAAGCACTTTTACGTTATCTTATCTGATCCTCACAACAACCACCAAGAGGTAGATACTGTTATTATCCATGTTTTACAGATGAAGCCAAGAAAATGACTTGTCCAGGGTCACACAGCCAGTAAGAATCTGAGGTAGGATTTCAACTCAGGTCATCCTGACTCCAAGTCCAACATTCTATCCACTGAACCACCTTGTTGCCCAGATTAGGGTTAAGGGGGGACGTCCTTGGCATCCCTGTAACCATGTAAAGGCTTTTAGGGAGTGGAATTCCTTCCCAAATGAGAAATGGCATAAACGCCATTGCAGAGGATAGCATCCTATTACCACACATTAACTAGATAGGGAAGGTTGTTGTTATTGTTTGTCCTTCGTTCTTGAAGAAGACCATGACGTCATGGAGGTGACACCATGACTTGCAAGTGAATTGGATTTAAGTGAGGGAGGGCTGGGCAAAGTTACCAGCCTTACCTTCTCCTCCAGAGCCATCTGAGTCCAGTAGCAAGGTAGCTGAAGGGTTGAGGGTTAGGTCAGGTTGCTATCTTTCCATAGCAACTCGCCACATTACCATAGATAGGAAACACAATGCTACTCTCCCTCCATCTCCACATCCAGACCATCATCAGAATCCCAATTCGTTTCTTGGCTAGAACATGGGTGAGACTTGGTGTAGAACTCCCCAAATCCTCTAGATGGGAAAACCGGCCTGAGCTAGGGCCAGGGGACTTGAGAACATCAAATGGGCTCTCCATCTATCCTTCTATGTCAGAAGCATAATGTCCAGAAATCCTCTGCCCTGGTCAGACCACATATGCAATGATGATTTTGGTCTGGGTGGTGAGGTGATTCAAAATCAAGTCCTGTGAGAAACAGTTAAAGGAACTGGGGATGGTTAGCTTAGAAAAAGGGAGACTTGGTAAGGGTCAGGGGCAGGGGCAGATACTTCACTTCAAATATTTGAAGGGCTGTTAGATGGAAAAGAGTAGACTTACTCAGTGTAATTCCAGAGAACAATCCTAGGATCAGTGGGATGATAGATTTCTTCTCAGTTCGATTCCTCTGCCAATTGTATTCATCTCTTTTATGACATTCCTCAAAAGCAGTCATCTAACTTTGAATATCTCCAGTGACAGAGAACTCACTACCTCACAAAGCAACCCATCCCGTGTTTGGACCACTGTAATTTATCAGACAGTTCTTCCTTTACTCAGCTGAAACAAGGGGCAAAGTTTAATCAATAGGAATTTTGCTTACTACATTTTGAGAAATTCCAGCATAGTTCCCCCAAATCCCAACTCTGGACTTCTTCAGTTGGAAGAATCAGAATAGCAAGAATATAAGCTCTCTGAGGACAAAGACAGCCTCTTTTTAAATCTTTGTATTCCCAGTACTTAGCTCAATGTCTGTCACACAGTAAGTGCTTAATAAATGCTTTTTCATTCATTAACCAAAAAAAACATCATTATGGCCCAGTGGTCCAGATTCAGAGGAACTTGGTTCAGATCCTGCTTCTGATGCTTACTATGCTTATTTACTGTGGGTAAGTCATTTAACCTCACTGATCCCCAATTTCCTCATCTCTAAAATTCAAGAGTTGTACTAAAAGGCCCCTGAGATCTCTTCCTATTGCATTAATTCCTTTTTATAACAACCCTAGAAAGTAGTCATCCAGCTTTGAATACCCCCCAGTAACAAGAAACTCACTGCCTCACAAAGCACTTCAATCCATTATTGGACAACTACAATTTATTACGTAGCTCTTCCTTTACTCTAGGCTGGGGTTTGAAGGGTAAGGAGCGGAGTGGGGAGGGAGGCTCTGTGCTGGAGACTTTTCAAATCTGGGAAGCAAAATCCCTTTGGATTAAGCTTCCTTCCTCTATTCAGTTGCTTCAGTTCCACTAACCAAGTACCTGTGTCTTATCTTCCTGGGGCAGAACAACCTTCCCTGAGTCCTCCCACAGTGATGATGAGAAGTCTGTAACCAAATGTCCCAGAGAGAAAGCTCTGGAGCTACTGTGTCCATTCCCTTACACCCCACGTGTAGAGTAACAGTTGATGCCTGATTCCATACATGGAAGAAGCAGTGATGTGGAGAATCCCAAATGTCAGATCAACTATTGTTCCTATTTGGCTCTAGATTCTATCTGCTTGCCTTTGGCTATTGGTGGGTGTTGAGACTTGGAGAATTCATACCAGTGTGCAGGATGAGGTCTTTGAGAATGGGACTGTCATGTTTTTGTATTTGTGTCCCCATTGGTTAATACGGAGCCTGGTACATAGTAGGCGCTTAATAAATGCTTGCTGATTGATTGGTTGATTGACATAACAAAGCCACAATGTGAAGACCCTATCAAGAGGAGTTAGGAAGCTTCTCAGCGGCCCTTCTTAACTCCTTGCTCTTTATTCATGCTGGGATCAGAAGGCAATGCATCTGACCAGCCCAGGCAGAACGGTCTTCTCTAAAGGTTGGGGCTGATTCACACCTTCTTGGAGATAAGGAAAGTATTTGCGTATTATAGTTTAACACAACTTCTAACTCTTGCTGGTTGGTAAATGTCACCAAGGTAGAGGAAGTGATGGTGTCCTCAGGAATGAAAAAGGCAGCTAGGTGGCAGGGAGGATAGAGGGCCAAGCCTGCAGTCAGGAAAACTCATCTTTCTGAGTTCAAATCTGGCCTCAGACACTTACTAGCTGTATGACCCTGGGCAAATCACTTAACCCCGCTTGCCTCAGTTTCTTCATCTGTCAAACGAGCTGGAGAAGGAAATGGCAAACCACTCTAGTATCTTTGCCAAGAACACTCCCAATGGGGTTATAAAGAGTTGGACATGATTGAAAAATAAATAACAATAGAATAAGCCACAAAGCAGATAAAGTTGTTGATGTAATTCCTTTTATCTTTTCAGGACAGTGAACTTTCTCCCTTTACCTGCCCCCCAAAAAAAAGCCCAGCCCCTTTGCTTGAAACCTTTGTCCCCAGGTTGAAATTCATTTTAAATCCCAGGACACACATGATCTCTATCAGGCAGTCACCCGAGCCTTTCCCATCCTTGTCTGTCGCTTCCCATAACGCAGACCAAAGGAGTTCCAGTTGTAGGCTGACGGGTCTTTCTCCCGCTCCACCAGCAATGCTCCTCGGGGTGTGGCAATCAGTCGGCTGCGGGTGGGGCATAGACCTGGCCACAGTGGGTCAGGGGTCTCATCAGAGGGGCAGAGTAGCGCCGGTCTCTGTGTCTGTCTTCTCTGCTCTGGTTTCTCAGGACACCGGGGCCTCCGTTCCCAGGGAATCAGGTGGGCCAGGAGTCGGCCACGCTGTCCTAGGGCAGAAAAGCCACGTGGAGATGCCGAATCCAATGCTGCCTAGCGTTTCAACCTTATGTGGCATTGACCCCTGGACTGGATTCAGGATAGCAACACTTCCCCAGAGCATTCAGGGCCTTGCTGCTCCCCACCCCCTTCCTGATATAGGAGAAAGATTACTTACTTTTTAATCAGAAGACCTGAGTTTAAATACTATCCCTATCATTTACTGCCTATATGGCCTTGGGCAAATCTCTTCACCTCTCTGGGCCTCAGTTTCCCCATCTGAAAAATGAGGGGGTTGGATAAAATGACCTGTAAGATCCCTTCCAGTTTTAAATCTCTGATCTTGTCTGCCAAGCTTTCTGGGCCTCAGTTTACTGCTCTGTTAAATGAGGGGGCTGGGCTAGGTCATCTCAAAGGTACCCCCTTCCAACTCTAACATTCTGAAAATATGAATCTGTGATTCTGGATTGGATTAGAGACCAGAGAAAGTGTCTAGGGCCTCAAACCACATTATTTCCTTTCCTCTATGCCCCAAAACCACCCAGAAAAGGACCCTGGGTACATGTTCCTGTCTCAGAATATTAAGTACATAGTCTACAATTCCCAGGCAGGACTTTGCTGAAACTAATCGCCCAGTGGGGTCCTAGTGCAGTATACCAGAGGGAAATGGGGTGCTGCATCTGACTACCTCTGTGCCTGAAAACCAAGATGCTTGGGGACAGCTGGGATCTTTCCCCGTGTGTACCTCCAATACCTCCGATAGTGCCTGTACATAGAAGACTTAAATGCTACTTAAATTCAGAAGCTATCTTGGAGCCATAGAATCACAGAGTATTTAAAGCTTAAAGGGATTCTTGATGTCATCTCAACCAATCTCCTAATATAGAGAAAGGAAATCTAGGCTCGAAGATATTGAGGAACTTTCAGGAAGGAAGGAAAGAAGGAAGGAAGGAAGGAAGGAAGGAAGGAAGGAAGGAAGGAGGGAGGGGGGGAGGAAGGAAAGGAAGGAAGGAAGGAAGGAAGGAAGGAAGGAAGGAAGGAAGGAAGGAAGGAAGGAAGGAAGGAAGGAAGGAAGGAAGGAAGGAAGGAAAGAAGAAGGAAGGAGGAAGGAAGAAGGAAGGAAACAAGCATTTATTAAGCATCTACTATATGCCAGATACTGTGCTAAATGCTTACAAATATTAACTCATTTAATCCTTACAAAAATCCTGAAGGGTGCAATTATCCCCATTTTCCAGTTCAGGAAAATAAGGCAGATAGCAGTTAAGTAACTTGGGCAGGATTACACAGCTAGTGTCAGGCTAAATTTGAACTCAGGTCTTCCTGGCTCTAGGCCCAGCGCTCTCTTCATTTTAACGCCTAGTTAAAATGTGCCTAAAGTCACATACGTGATAATATAGTGTAAGTGTTAGAACTGGGAGTTGAACTTGAATCATAGGAGCACAGAATCACAGACTCCCAGACAGAGAAAGGACCCCAGAGGCCAACCAGGACAACCCCAACTTAAGCAAGAATACCTCTGACCTGCTATGTAGTCCCTCAGTCTTTCCTTGGAGACCTCCAGTGAGAGGGAATTCACCATCTCAGGAGGCAGCCCATTTCACTTTTAAACATCTCTAATCATTGGGAACTTTTATCTGATATCAGGCCTAATTCTGCCTTTCTGCAATTAATGTTCAGCCCCCAGTTCTTCTCTCTGGGCCAAGTAGAACAGGTCTAATATCTGTTTCATGTGACAGCCCTTCCAATACTTAAGGAAAGAGCTCAATTAGCCTCTTATTTTTTTTTCTATATAAGCTGCAGATCCCCAATTTCTTTAACCAGTCCTCATATGGCAAGATCTCAAGGCACCAGACCATTTTGGTCACCTTTCTCTGAATACTCTCTAATTCCTTAGATGTGACATACAGAACTGAAAACAATACTCCAGATGTTGCCTAGCTAGGGTACAGTTCAACAGACCTATCACCTTTCTTTCTCAATGCCATGCACCTCAGTGCAGCCTAAGATCACAGTTGCCTTTTTGGTTACCACCCTTGACTCATATTGAGTTTGTGGGCCTCCAAAGCCTGCAGATCTTTTTCACATGAATTACAGAATAATCACTTCTTCTTCCCCCCCACCCTCCATGTAATCTTTACTTTAAAATTTTTATTTTCAGTTCAAAATTTTCTCCCTCCCTCCACCAATCCATCCATTGAGAAGGCAAGAAATTCAATACCCATCATACATATGAAATTATGAAAAATATATTCCCCCATGAAATCTTGAAGATTACTTTTTGAATCAATATGTAAAAATTTACATTTATCCATGTGAAATCATATCTTAATTGATTCAGTCCAATCTGGGTGTTTTTAGATCCTCATTCTATCCTTTAACATCCCTCCTAGCTTTATATTATTGGGAAGTTTGATAAACCTAGCATCTATACCTTTAGCCAAATCGCTGATAAAAAATATTAAATATGAAAGTGCCACTCTAGAGACCTCTATCCTAGTTGACATTGAGTCATTTGTAATGACTACTCTTTGAGTCTGGCCATTTAACCATCACTGAATCCATTGAACTGTACTATTTATTATCTAGCCTACATCTCTGCTTTTGTACAAGAATAGCATGAGAGACTTTGCCAAATCCTTTGCTAAAATCTAGGTAAACAATATTCATAGCATTTCCCTGTTCTACCAGTCTGGTAACCCTCTCAGAAGAGCGCTGAGTTCCATTTGGCTTGCCCTGTTCTTGACGAAGTCATGCTGGCTCTTTGAGGTGGTTGCTTCCCTTTTCAGCTGTTTACTTGCCATTCCTTTATGATCTAGAAATTTGCCAAGTATCGAAATCAAGTTCATGGCCCTACAGTTTCCAAAAACCCTCCTTCCCTTTTTTTTTTTTTTTTTGACATTTACCCTCCCTGGTCTTTAAACATCTCTCTCACTCTCTACAACCTTTCAAAGATCACTGGTGGTGGCTAAATAATCACATATTGGCTCTTTCAGTACCTTGGAATCCAATTTGTTTGGGCCTTGAATTCATCAAGAGTAGATGGGTGCCTCCCTACTTTTTCATTGTTTAGCTGTTTTTCAGTCACGTATGACTCTTCATGACCCCATTGGGGATTTTCTTGGCAAAGATAGTGGAGTGATTTGCTATTTCCTTCTCTAACTCATTTTACAGATGAGGAAAGTAAGGCAAGGAGGGTTAAGTGACTTGCTCAGAGTCACACTGCTAGTAAATGTCTGAGGCCAGATTTGAACTCAAGAAGATGAGTCTTCCTGACTCCAGGCTCTGGTTCTATCCACTGCCCCACCTAGCTGTCCCACCTCTTTACCAGGTGCCTCAGTTATTACCTTTTTACTTATGCTGGGTTTAACTCCCTATTAATTATTTTTCTGCCATTGGGCAGATATATCCAAGGCTCATTTTCATTGAAAAAATAGAAGCAAAGTAAAAACTGAGCAGCTCTGTCTTCAATTTCATGTTAAAATCATCCCATCTACCTCAAGCATCAGTCCTATCCCTTTGTTGAGCATTCTCTTTTTCTCCATACAGTTTTTTAAACCCCCTTTTCTCTTAGTTTGCTTGTTTTTCTGGCTAGGCAATGGGGTTAAGTGACTTGCCCAGGGTCACACAGCAAGTAAGTGTCAAGTGTCTGAGGCCACATTTGAACTCAGGTCCTCCTGAATCCAGGGCCAGTGCTCTATCCCCTGCACCACCTAGTTGACCCCCCTTTTTTTGTTTTTGTTAGCTTTCTTTACTATTCCCAGATCAATCCAGAGCTTTAGCACTCCTGACAATATTCTTAACAGGATCATGTAATCCCTTTCTATAGCTCTCTTGTTACCTTCTTTTGCTTCCATTGTCTGTATGTTTTTAAATATTTAAGTTGTGAATCCACATCAGCCTCTTTAGACCCTCCCCTTTTCCTCTGCATCAGAAATTGCTTCTCTTTGTGTTTTCAGAATTCTGTTCTCTTGATCTTCCCCATCTCTTCTGGAACAACTTCCTCTGTAGAATTTTAGACCATGAAATCCTAGATATCCTTTCTCTGAACCCTTTGAAATCTTCTTTCTCCAAGTCTAAGCTGCATGTCAGACTTTGACCAGCCTTTCCTATCACAAGTTCTAAGATGGTGTGGTCATTTCCCTCCCTTCCCTTCCCCCATTCCCATTATTTCTGCTTAAGTCACCTCCTCAGTTCAGATCTCCTACCACAATACACTATCCTGTGTCTTAGGCTGAGACACTATGGGTAAACCCCTCAATATTTCTGAAAAAAGCCTTCCCATCTCTAGAAAGGAAATGATAACCACAGTGGCTCCACCACCTCCCCAAAGGTTCTGATTACAGTAATTGCTGAGCCCTAATGGCTGATCTGAATGCCTAATGAATTGAATTATCTGGGTGACCTTAACTTGAGTTCTCCCCTCCTCATCTCATTTTCCCCTTCAGCTGATGAGGTTAACAAGGGGCTAATTTGGGAGATACTTCAGATGCAAGGCCTTGTTAAACTCGCTGTGATTTTTTGGCAGGAAGAACAACATTGCCACTTTGAGTTCAAACAATAGTCACAACAAATTGTGGCAGATCAGTTGAAATGAGAACTCTGTGTAAGGCAGGGGGAGGGTGGCTGACTCTTGGTAGTTACAAGTTCTCTCTCCCCCAATACTCTGGTGAAAAAGGAGGTGGCAGAATGAGAATGGAACAGATTTGATGAAATTTGGGCTAGCACCCTTCCCTGTGATTCTCTGTTCTGCTTCCCCTCCCTACCTCCACTCCCTGAGATGGCGAGGTGGAGAAGAAAATCAAGTCCCTTCCATACAATGAGCAAATGCTCAACTTGGCAGGCCACTGGAGGAAGGTCTTGGGCCATAGCCTCAGACTCTCTCTCAAAAAAAAAAAACCAAAACCCAACCCAAACACTAAAAGTCTCCATAAGGGTAAAGCTTTACTGTCTTCAGGGAAAGACCCTACCCTAAAGGACCCCACTCCTAGATTAGAAAATACTTATCTGTAGAAGAGACTTATTGTTCTAGTTTCCATTGTTTTCCAGTGCTAATGAGACCCTTTGGAGTGAGGACTAAGAAACTGTGCGATGGAGTAGAAAGAATACCGAATTTGTGGCTTGGGGACCCGAATTTGGCCTCTAGCTCTGTTACCCACTGCCTGTGGCCTTGGGCAGATCACTACCCTTCCTTGGGCCTCAGTTTCTTTACCTGTAATATGAGGCAGTTGGATTAGATGGTCTCTACAGTCTCTTCCAGGTCTAGATCATGATCCCATGAGCCCTTCCTGTTGGAACAATCAGGGAGGCAATTCTCTCTACTGTCTTGTTGGACAAAGGGAAATCCAGACAGATTAAACTAATAGCCCAAGGTCACTCAGCAAACAAGAAGCCAAGTAGGGATGCAACCTAGGAGCTGACTTCTTTTCATTTCAGGATGTTCTCTTAGATCATGGACCACACTGGTGGACAGTGTTGCCATCCCCCACCCCAGTCTGGAACCTGGTCATGATGCCATCTTGTTTTACTCTGTGACTTTAAGTCGCTGAATCTCTCTGGGTTTCACTTTTTCCACCTGAGCAACTTCATAATGACCTCATCAGATTTTCATGTCCTGGACTGATCCTTAATACCACTTGTATCTGTTAGAGTATATTTTTTAATCCCCACAAAGGTTGACTTCAGAAAAAATTTATATATCATATATATGTCATATATATGTCTTATATTCAGAGGCAATCTATATTCAGAATATGGTAATTTTGATCTGATGACTCATATATGTGTGTGTGTGTGTGTGTGTCTATAGATGTGTGTGTGTGTGTGTGTTAACCTAATGGGTAATCACAGATCTTTATTCCTATCTTTCCCACTTTCCTGTCTCAGATAGCTTGTACCTGTGAATCCAGGGTTCTCAACAGGAGCAAATTCATCCAAAGTCTCTCCAAATGGGAATACAGAGAGGAACAGTAGCAGTTGCCAGCACATTGAGGTTCTCATCCTGCTGGGTGACCTAGAACAGAGACAGAGACAGAAGGCAGAAAGAACAGAGTCAGTCAACGTCCCAGACTGAGCCCTGCTATGGTTCCCAACAGGGTCCTGTAGTGGGTGCCGGGAGAAAGGGGGGGGGGTAATCCAGAAGAAAAAGGAGACAGTGTCAACCTTTTGGAAAATCCCATTTTGATGACAGAGATAGTGTCCCTTTGCTCAGTGAATTCCGAATCTGATGGGGAGAGAGAAAGGAGAGAGCCAGCAAACAGACTTCAGAACACTGTAAAGCAGCTTTTGAAGATCTGCAAAGTAGCTGTGGTTGAGCCTGGGATAATCACACTTCTGAACTGAAAGGAACCATTTTACTCAGGTGGACCCCATGGCCCAGAGAGGGTCAGCAACTTACTTAAAGTCACACAGGTAGCAGAACTTGGTTTACCAGCTCTTCTGCCTCAAAATTGAGCATTCTTTCCTGGATGTCACATTGCCTCAAAGTACTAGAGGTGAGTCAAGAGGGATTTGGCAAGGATTTGGCAATTTGCCAAGCCAGTTTGGTGGTGACAGGTCAGGACTGTCCAAGGTAGGGAATGTGGCCAGAACAGAGTGTCGGAGGTCAAAGGGAACATAGTTCTGCATAAATCTGAAAGCACTGTAGAAATAAATGGGAGTTGTTTCTTACTGATATTAATCAAATAAATAAATATTACTAAAAAAACCAAATAATGTTGTTATTATTAGGGTGATGGGAAGCAGGTTTTCTTAATCCTGTCTTGATTTGGATATTTTAAAGAGCTTTGGCCTTGGAGCCAGGAGAGAGAGTAGAAAGCTGATGACTCAGTTCGGGTAGACTCCCTATAGGAGGTCACAGGATTGAAATGCTGCCCTCTTTTGCTTAATTCTTGTGGGAAAAAGAATTGTGTGTGAGCTCATAGCAATGCCTGTCCATGCATGAGTACTCTTATGTACGTGTATTTAGCTTGTAGATTTTGGAGGGTTATACAATGGAAAGAGCGCCAAATTTGGAGTCAGAGGACCTGTGTTCAACTCCTACCTGTGTGTTACCTTGAGTGAGCAATTTTATTTCCTCATCTGTAATATAAGGGTAGGCCACTAGGTGGTGCCATAGTGCATGGGGCACTAGGACTGGAGTCAGGAAGACTCATCTACCTGAGTTCAAATCCAGCCTCCACCACTTATTAGCTGAGTGACCCTGGGCAAGTCACTTTACCGTGTTTGCCTCAGTTTCCTCATCTGTAAAATGAGCTGGAGAAGGAAATGGCACATCACTCCGGGATCTTTGCCAAGAAAACCCCAAATGGGGTCATGAAGAGTCGGGCGCAACTGAAAGAACTCAACAACAACAATGTAAGGGCCTTGGGCCAGGTGGTCTTTGAGACCCTCCCAGTTCTAGATCTAGGACCCTATTATCCTTTCTCTCAGCTGCCCAGTCCTTAGGATCATCTGTTTAGAACTAAAAGGGACTTCAGAGGCCATTGAGGCTAAGGAAATTGAGGAAATAGGCTGAGAAGGGTAAAGCGATTTTGACCAAGTCCACGTAGGGAGTAAGTGTCAGAGCTAGGATTGGAACACAGGGATTTCCTTGTGGTTACTGGATAATAAAAATATTATTCAGATATTAGAGTATACCTACAGGTAAGGTTGTTGTTCAGTCATGTCTGCCTCTTTGTGACTCCATTATGGGGTTTCTTTGGCAAAGCTGCTGGAGTGGTTTGCCATTTCCTTCTCCAGTGGGTTAAGGCAAACAGAGGTTGAGTGACTTGCCCAGAGTCACACAGCTAGTAGTAAGTTTTTGAGGCCAGATTTGAAATCAGGTCTTCCTGACTCCAGGCCCAGCGCTCTATTCATTGAGTCACCAGCTGCCTCCACCTAGAGGTAAGATGCATTTCAAATTAAAAATGCATCACTCTGTTCTCTAGGCTCTCAGAGTAGGAGAAAACAATCAAAATGCCTGGAGCTGGGAATGATGTGCCTATTGGGAGTGTCAGTTTCTTCATCTGTAAAATGATGGAGTTGGATAAAATAGTTCCTTAGGTCCTTCCCAGCGCTGACATTCTGGGCTTCTGTGGGTCTGTCATATTTAGGTCTGGGTGTTTCCTGTATCGGAGACAACTGTCAAATTGGCCCATCTCTCCTTTTCTTAGATCCAGCCTACCTTCTTCCTGCTGTAGCGTAAGCCTATTTCTTTCTTCTTTCTTCTGTCCTCAGTGGAGATGAAGAAAATCCAATTTACAAGTAATAGCCCTTCATAGAATTGGGGGCTGTCATTACTTTGCCTTATTATTATCTAAAATTCAGACACCCCCGTCCACACCCCCACAAAGCCATTTCACCTGATTTATCAGATTAATTGTCTCCATTTCCCAATGTCTTAAAGCCCCGAGTGGCTGTGAATAGAGCCAGCAGCTTCTCCTTGAGGAGGAGGGCCTCCTGCCCCTTCATCTTGCCTTCCCCGATTCATGCCTCTCCCTGCTCTTTTCCATGTTCTCCCTTTGGATAGTGCCCAGGAACAGCTCAAAAGACTTAAAGGAAAAGAAGTTGGGAAGAGATGAGAAGGAAGTGGGGTTTTTCGTGGGATTGATAAAAGGGAAGAGCCAGAGGGAGATAGACTCATGCTTCAAACTCAAATTTACACTCAGGGCAATGGGGCTGAGGAGGCAGAGTTGAGGAAAGTGGGATGAAAGTGACCTCTGTTCCCATGTGCAAGGACCTGTTCCTAATTTTGCTCATCCTAATGTAGCCTCTTGTTAGAAACAGAGAGCCATACAATGCTATGGCTGGAAGGAATCTCGGATGGAGCTCACTGGATCATGTGACTTAGAGTCTGAAGGGAACAGGAGACATCCAGTTCAATCTTCACTTTTGGCAGAGTGGGAAACTGATGACCAGAGAAGTATCAAAGGATAACACCAAAGTCCTCCTAAAGGACTAAATAGGAATAAAAGTGCCCCCACACACGCCTGATGGGAACTATTCCTTTCTCTTCTCTCTTGGACCCAGTAAGCAGAGCCGGCAAGATATAGCAGTAGAATGGGAGCCAAGATATGCTAGCCCTGGTTCTACCACTAACTAGCTGGGTGCCCTTGAACGAGTCACCTCAGTTTCTTCATCTGAAAAGTAAGAGGGTTGGACCAGATAATCTTTGAGGGCTCTCCCAGTTCCTGATCTGGGACAGATACTGCAATGCCCCCACCCCAAGTGTAACTTTCTGTAAGTCTGGATCCAGAGACTGGTGTGCACAGGCGCTCAGGGAGCCCCTCCAGTGGACCCTGCTAAGCCAGTCCACAAATTGATGGATGGAGGAGACCCCTGGCAAACACTCTCCCAAATCCTGAGCTCCCTAAGTTTGAATGACTCTGGCATGGGATGAATGAATGAGCTTTCTTCCTTCGCTCCACTGTTCACACCTGCATCTTTCTATATATAACCTATCTTTATAGAAACTTTTATCTCTTTTTGCTGGGAGTTCCATTAACAATGAAATCCCAAGTCCAGTCCTCTTTAAAAGATGATCACTCTAGCAGCTCCTGCACCACAGTGGGGCTCACAAAAGGAAGGGAGAGACCTCTGCTGGGGTATTAGGTTAACTGTCAATGACCAGAGCACACTAGGTACAAAAAATATCTCAGCTGGAAGGGTGTATGCCTAGATCATCTTGTCTATTTCCCTAAGGGAACTGACGCCCGGAGTGGCTTCTTCTTGGTCACTCAGGTTTTCAGGGAGCAGAGTAAGCGTTTAGTCTACTGCTGGATTTCTGCTAGGCTCATTTGGTACTATTGTCCCCATCATCTTAGAGATGGCCAACCTGAGACAGAAGAGTGAAATATACAAAAATTATCTTTGTGTCTTATCACCATGATCACTAGCTTTGTATATTTCACACACCCTTCTGGCAGCATCCTCCTCCCTTTCTCCCAATCTTACCGGGTGCCCTGTGCCCCCATGCCCATCTCTGGCTGACCAGGACTCCCTTGGTGAATGTCCAAATGAGACCTGTCCTCCCTGGAAGGACTTCATACTACTGGACCTCCCTCAGACTCCATCTAAACCGATAGCTTCTGTGCCTCATTGCTTTCAGCCCATGCTGGGTTATCAAAGGGGATCTGAAAAGCCAAATCAAGCTCAATTTTTCTGTTCTTGTTTTTGTCCAGACAGAGCCTGTAGGGAGTTCCCGATGAGAAAACATCCTCTAGTACAGATCACCATTCACTCTTTGACATATAGTCTCAGAAAGTTGCCTGGGACCCTGAAAGGTTCATTTGCCCAGGATAAGACAGTGGGCATGTATCGGAGGAGAGACAAGTATAAATGGAATACAGCGGCTTACATGGTTGGCTATTCCTTCAAAAGGAGTTGCATTTTAAGGAAGGGCTTCTAAAATTTAACTCAGGCTAATGAAGACTTGTATCATTTTAGTAAGGTGAGTTTAGATGGAGGTAAAGTTGGGGGATGTTTCCCAACTCCCCTCAAATCCCATCAGTTGGGAAATTGTCTGCCATGCTTGTGTACAGAGCTCATCCTGCCTATATAATTAATCAATCAAAAAGTATTTCTCAAGCACTTATGTGCCTGGTACTGGACTAGGCACTGGGGACAGGAAGACATAAATCAAAGTCCCTTTCCTCAAAGGGTTTACATTAATCTCTCTGGGTTCAGTTCCATCACCTGTAAAGTGGGAATAACAGTATCTGCCCTGCCTTGCCTAAGATGAAGGTAAGGCTCAAATGAAAGCTAGAAAGAACTATATAAGTTTAAGATGACATTATCCTTATTCTTGTTTTCACATAATCAGTAGGAACTGGGAGTCCCAGCATACTGACCATATGCCTGAACAGAAATCTAACTTTATAACAGAGAAAGGCAGGGGTCTTGCTCTCCCTATATAGCTCTGCTGACCCTCTCACTGAGGTATTTTGGGGGAGCTTCTCTCCCTTCCCCCAGAGTCAGATCCTCTAAGCCAAAATTTTACAGTTTTGCAGGGCACAGTGATGCTCGCTTTCATTCCCCAGGCTTTGACTGAATGCATAGAGTCATAGGATGATGGATTAAGAGGTGGAAATGAATTTAGAGGCATCTCGTTTAACCCCCTCACCAAAGGAGAGGGGTTAGGTGACTTTCACAGGGTTACAGCTAGCAGGTGTCACAGGTAGGATTTGAATCCAGGTTTTCCTGACTTCATATCTAGCACTCTAACCATCATACCACACTGCCTCTGCCCCAGATCTTTACCCAGTTTATTTCTCAGCCAGTCCTACTTTTCCTGGTGGGCTTCAGACTCTGGCTTTGGCCATTATAGCTGTACCCAGCTAATTCTTGTTAAAATATTTTAAACCCTTGGAATTTTTTAGGGGGAGAGGGCCTTTGACTCCATAGGGGAAGGTGGCTCCTGGGGAGGAACTTCTCCCCATGTAGGTCACACCTTCTCTGCCACTTTATAGTTGCCTGAGGAACTGAGAGGTTAGATAACTTGCACAAGCCAGTATGTGTCAGGAGTAGTACTTGAATCCGGGTCATCCCTACTCTAAGTCTATCCACTACTCCATGATGCCTGCTATTTGGAATTACTCTGGAGAGTATATACAAATTTAGACAGGTGAATATTCTTGGGGCAATCTGGTCCCTTTAGGAAACAGGAGAGAGTGAAAGTAACAAGAGCTGCATTTGTATAGCACTTTAAGGTTCTGAAAGCACTTTACATACATACATGATCTCATTCGATTGAAAGAGGACCACAGAGTACCCCTGCCCACTCAGTGCCCCATGGTCAGCTGCTCAGTCCTAACCTGACCTGAGGTCCTGGTTGACGTGCTCTGACTTCCTATGCCAAACAGTTGCTCTGGCACCAATTCTTTTGTCATCTCGGTCTAGGCACCCTCCTCCCTGCAATATTCGGTTGATCCAGGATTGGAATGCCCTCTCCCACAGTGTGGATGCTGAGACGCCACTTACCTTGGCTCAGCCCCAGGGCTGAGGGGACGGCAGGGGTTGCTGGAGCCTCAGATCACACTCCAAGGAAGGCAATTTCTGAGCTAGTGGAAGGAGCTTTCTTCCCTCCCTCCCTCTCTTTGTCTCTCCCTCTCCAATTCCAGGATCACCTCTGTTTTATCAAGTCCAGAATGACGTCTTCAAGCTTGGTCCCACCTCTACCTTCTGTCCCCTCCCTTGTCAATCCCTCTTAAAATAAATAAATAAAACTACTTACAGCCCTATTTTCTGCCCCTTGTCTTTCTTTAGCTCTTGTCTCCCATGAGGGGACCCAGCCCCTCCTTTCTTCTCTCTCTTGTCTTCCATCCTTTCCTATGTACTCCATTTCTCAGCTGTCATTCCCTTAGTCCCCTCTTTCCCTCCTTTCCTTCCCTTTGCTAGAAATAATGGTCATTCAGCTAACCCTAAGAAAGGTTCAAAATGAGGTCCTAGAGTGGGATGGTAAGCTCAGGTTATGGCAACTTCTTCTTCTCTCCGTCCTCTGGTCAAACAACCTTGGGTAATTACTGCAAGGCCACCTGGACCTTGGTAGAAATAGCTATAACAATAATAAAGTATTACCACTTATTATTGTTAATCAGTATTAACTATCGATTAATAATAATACATCATTACTATCAGAAGTAGCATGGCTTAGTAAAGGGGTGTCAAATCAAAATGTAAATGGGGCCATTGAATTATATATAAGATCCCTCTGGCTGAAAATTGACTTAGAAAACAACATATTAGCGTTCTTGTTGTTGAGTCTTTTCAGTTGTATCTGATTCTCTTTGACCCCATTTGGGGTTTTCTTGGCAGAAATACTAGAGTGGTTTGCCATTTCCTTTTCCAGTGCATTTTACAGATGAGGAAACTGAGGCAGACAGGGTGAAGTGACTTGCCCAGGGTCACACAGCTAGTAAGTGTCTGAGGTTGGATTTGAACCCAGCTCCTCTTGACTCCAGGTCCAGCACTCTATCCAGTATACCACCTAGCTGTCCCAATATTAACATTAGCTATGCTCTATTGTATCTTTATTCATTTTGTTAAATATTTTCCATTTAAATTTTAATCTAGTTCCCCTCACTCAAGGGAGTAGTGTAGGTACTGATGTTACTAGCTAAGTGTTTGACACCTCTGCCTTACTGGATAAAGTGCTGGGAGTCAAAAAGACCACACTCCAAATACTAGCTTCAATTCCTGCTAGTTTTGTGATGGTAGGCTACGTTGTAGGTCTTTTTGGGACTCAGTTTTCTCGTCTGTAAATTGAGATTAATGCCAGCTGTAGTACCTGTTTTACCAGACTATTGTGAGGCTGAAGTAAATCAATGAATATAAGCTTCTTTGCAAACTTTTCAACAATTTACAAATGTCAGCGTTGTCGTTAGCATAAACTTTTTTGAAGGATGTCAAAGGAATTAGAAAAGGCAAATTGCACTGATAGTCGAGAGAGGTCCATGGGCTCTGTGTCTTGGAGACACTAAGGGATTTATGGAAGATTAATATGTTTGGATGCTGAATCTTGGAGCTCATCTAGTCCACCTTACTGATACACCCAGGGGGCACAATGGATAGAGCCCTGGGCTGGCAGTCAGGAGGACCTGAGTTTAAATCCAGACTCAGTCACTTACAAGCTGTGTGATTAGGCAAGTCACTTCACCCTGTTTCCTCATCTGTAAAATGGAGATAAGAGGAGCAGCTAGGTGCTGCAGGGATAGAGCACCAGCCCCAGAGTCAGGAAGACCTGAGTTCAAATCTGGCCTCACACACTTTACTTATGTGACCCTAGGCAAGTCACTTAACCCTGTTTGCCTTTGTTTTTTCATCTGTAAAATGAGCTAGAGAAGGAAATGGCGAACTGCTCCAGTATCTCTGCCAAGAAGACTCCAAATGGAGCAGAGTGAGTCCTGGGAGCCAAAGCTGTATTCAAGACAGCTGTGCAGTGGCAACAGTAGGACCGGCCAGCACAGTTGGGGTCACAGCCAGGAAGACTTGGTACAGGAGGCTCCCTGGATTGGGCCGGATGGAGCCCCCTACTGGCTGAAGCAGTTATATTTTTTTGTTTTTTGGTTTTTTTTAGGCAATTCGGGTTAAGTGACTTGCCCAGTGTCATACAGCTAGTAAGTGTCAAGGATTTGGTCTGACGCCGGATTTGAACTCAAGTCCTCCTGATTTCAGGGCTGGTGCTCTGTCCACTGCGCCGCCTAGCTACCCCTGCAGTCCCATTTTCACTGGGGGAAAAACACAGCTTAGGTTCAGAACACACAGTGGATGGGAAGTCTTTCTCCAGTGAGCTCCACTTGGTCCATTGGAAAGAGAAAAAAGACAAGACCTTTGCAGAAGCAGTGGCAGCCCCGGATAGCCTGGCTGTGGTTGGCATCTTCTGGAGGCTGGAAACGAACATGCCAGCATGAACAGACTGACAGATGCATTATTCATGGTCAGATTCAAACCCTAAACTGCTCCTGTAGGACCCTAAGCCAGAGTTTCTGCTGAACCCCCTTCCCAGGGAAGCCAAGCCCACTTCAACAGCTTTAATTCCAATTCCTCCTCCCCATGAACCACCACTACCGAACCTACCCAGGATCCCTAACCACCCCACCCTGGAGTGAGAGTGTCACCTGGCTAGTACTCAAGGAGCCCATCACAATTTCAGAGAAACAGACGGAAAATTTCCGGAGCCTCCTTTTCACTGCAGAGGATGATGAGAAGGTCTGCATGGTGAATGAGTTCTGGTCCCCCTGCCACTAAAGGGAAGAGTAGTTCAGGCCTCTTTCCAGTCCTGAAGGGGGTCGTGCTGTGAATGGTAACAACAGTGATGTCCAAAGTGCTTCTGAATCGGCTAAGACCAAACCAGGTGTGCAGTGTCCTAGTCATGGACTGATTTCTCAGAGCCATTTGGGGGTTGGGAGCAGAGTAGAAGAGGGAATGGCCATTTCGGCTGTATTGTTAGTACCCTCAGTCCATTTCTAATTTACTTTGAGAGTTTTTCTTGTCACCTGATTTAAATGCTAAGAAAGCCCCTACTGCCACCACTCTGCTATCCCATGATCCTTTGACAGCTTTGAAACTGGCCAGACTTTTAAAAAATTCAAACCTGGGGGAAGATTTTAAAATCTACCTGGGCTAGAGCCGCCAGGAGGGGAGAGAAATAGAAGGAGAAGGTGACTTCCTAGTTCCTGGTTAATGGAGAAGGGAGGTAGATATTAGTAATGGTCAGGAATGACTCTTGGGGTAGATGAGCTGCCTGCCTCTTCCTAGGGGGCACTTCCCCCTCTGTCCCATCTACAATGCAAACTCCTTCCCTTGGGAAAAGTCACTTTGCTCTTCCCCTCCAGCAGCTCTGGCCCCTTCTTGAACCCTGTGCTGTGACGAGGCCATGGTTAGCTGTTGGCAAGACAAAAGCAGTCATTACAGCAGGTAGGAGATCCCTTCCCAGTGTTACTGACCTCAAGTAGGGGACAGAACTGCAGAAGGCGGAGGGCTTGGGGGCTTTGCTTGTTTGTTCCTTTGGCCATTTCACTGATAACCATTAAAAACACTGATGTGATTAAAAGAAAAAGAAAACCCAAAATGGGGTCATGAAGAGTCAAACACGACTGAAAATGACTGAACAGCAAGATGAAGGGAGAACAGTCCAGGCAGGGGACAGTCAGAACAAAGGCAGAATCCAAGTGTCATGTGGGAAGAACGGCAAGCAGGCCAGTGTGGATTGTAGTTGTGTGGAGAGGAGGTAAGAGGAAGGAGAATGGAGAGGCAGGAGGGGAGCAGGTTGGAAAGGGCTTTATTTTTTTGTTTGTTTGGGCTTTTTTGGAGGCAACTGAGGTTTAGCGACTTGCCCAGGGTCACACAGCTAGTAGTGTACGAGGTCAGATTTGAACCCAGGTCCTCCTGGCTCCAAGGCAGGTGTTCTATCCACTGCATCACCTAGCTGTTCCTGTAAACGGCTTTAAATGCCAAACAGAGCATTTTATGTTTGCCCCTGGAAGTAATAAGGAGCCACTGGAATTTATGAGAGGGGGCATGACATGGTCAGACCTACGCTGTAGGATATTACCTTGGCCACTGAGTAGAGGGCGGGTTGGAAGGGGGAGAGACTAGAGGCAGGGGGACCAACCAGAAGTCATTGGCAGTTTCCATCTTTTTTCATTTTTACTAGTTTTAAGGGGCATGAGAAGAAACCACAGAGCTGTTATATGTCGTATTTCTCTCATCAGTGATTTGGAGCAATCATCACTGTCAATAATTTACAATTTTTCTTTTGAAAATGGTTTGTGTCCTTTGACCACTTATCTATTGGGAAATGGTCTTGGACATATATTTTTGCTCACTCTTGGGGAAACTGAGGTCCAGAGAAGATGAATGACTTCTCCAAAGTCACATGGCTAATAAATAGCAGAGTCATCCAATACAATTGCTTTTTGGCAATTGCCTATCTGTCCCTTCTGATTGATGAAGGGCGAGAGGGTAAGATATTTGCAAGATACAATATAAAAGGCATTAAATTTGGGGTCAGAGCACCTGGGTTCAAATCCTAGCTTTGCCACTTACTATCTACGTGACTTTGGAGAAGTCATCTAACATCTTTGGACATCAGTTTTCTCATCTGTAACATAAAGGGGTTGGGTTAGATGATCTCTAAGACCCCATCCATCTCTCGCTCTATGATCCTATGAGAATTCCCACCCGGGGTGGGGGGAGGTTGCCCAAAGGAGTGCGCTCAAGGACAAAGTTTGGCCCCAACATCTCTGCTCAGTGGAAGGTTCATCTATGTAACCTCCTCTTGGGAGGAATACACCAGGAGTACCAGTTACAGCTGCCCTCGCGATAAAGAGGGAGAGGAAGAAATCCTGGAGGACACCACTAGGGCAGAAGGGTGAGAAGAGGGGTATGGAGAATGGCTCCAGAACTCCTAAGGAGCCTAGATTCAAACTGGTAATTTCCAGGTATTGCAGGTATTGCCCTATTAATGTCTCCACCAGTGTGAGGGGACCTCTCAGGATGAGAAGGTAGTGCCTGAAACAAAGGAAGGCCATAACCTTGACAGGTCATCTAGAGAAGCCACATTTGCCCTCCCTCCCTCCAAGACCAGTCCTGG